TAAACAGTTGGCAACTCTAGGCAGATGGGAGGACTCCCTGTGCTGCACCTAGGGGAGTAGGCAGTGAAGTAAATTACCTGCGCAGTAGATATGCCAGTACCTGGGCCAGATCCACATCTTCGTCCTCCTCCTCCTCCTCACCCCGCAGGAGCCTGGAGCCCCTCTGGGGCCTGCCGTCCTGGGGGTCCCGGCCCCCAGAGCTAGCACTGCTGCTACGGGAACCCATGCTTACGGCATTGTCTGGAACTAGGCTCGGGGGTTTGCTGTGTTGGCTCCTCTCCCACTCCCCCCGCAGCCAATCAGGAACAAGAAGCTCCCTGAAAGGAAAACCTTTAGCCACCAATCACAGCCCTTCATACTCAGGGGGCAGTTTTGTCCTCCTCAATATACCACAGCCACCCACCAATCACACAGCCCTTTATACTCAAGGGATGGTATGGTCCCCACGCAATATACCACAACCACCCACCAATCAGAGCCCTTCATACTCAGGGGGCAGTATTGTCCTCCTCAATATACCACAGCCACCCACCAATCACAGGCCTTCAGACTCAGAGGTCCATTGTGCTACATACTGCAGCTGCTCACCAATCAGATCTGCACATTCAGTGCCCCCTCCCTTCCCCACCAATCAGAGGAGCCTGTGCTCAGGGGACACACTTGCTCCCCTCAATATAGCACAGGAACCCACCAATGACGTTAGCAGCCATCCACCAATCAGAGCACCTTATACTCAGGGGGCACTCTTGCTCCCCTCAGTGTGCCACGCACCAATCACAGGGGCCTGTTGACTGCACAACCAACCACAGCCTCGATTCTTGCCCCCTCTCATATGCCAGCCTCTAATCCACTAATCAGCTCCTTCTACCCCCTGCACCAACCAGGGGGCTTCTTACGGTCAAGAGAGCCACCCACCAATCAGAGCGCCCTATATTCCCCCAGGCCCACCAATCAGAACGTCCCATACTTAGGGGGACACTTGCTACCCCAGTCCACAACCCAGCTCCCTTCCCCCCCACCAATTAGAACCCACCTGACTCCCCCAACAACCTTCTCCTCCTCCCCCTCCCCTGCGAGCCGGCCGTGGCCAATCAGAAGCCACTCCAAACTCTCTCCCCTCCCTTCCCCTAACCGCGAGACCTTCCTCACCCTCTAACGGCCGCAGCGCGAAGCCTTGTTTACATCTTTAGAACTGCAGCCGCCTCTAACGGAAGAAGAGGGAGGCGGGACAAGCCCGGCGCCCTCTGATTGGCTCCTCCTCTGAACATCACGTACGGTAGAGGGCGTTGTAGAAAATTCGGACACGTTGATTGGCCCTCCGCCTTCGCAACAGGGGAGGCGGGGATTTAAAGTACAGGCCAGTTCGCTGATTGGGTTGAGAGTGACAGCTTTGGAAGAGGCGGGTCTATGGTTATGCACGGGCTCTCTGATTGGACAGTTACTATATGAATGGCACTGGAAACGGGGAGGCGGTACAGTGGTATAAACCTGGTTAGCATGGAGTGATTGATAGCCTTAAAAATAGCCCTCGCTCTCTGATTGGATAATAGTGACTGATAGCGTAATAATTACTCTTTTAAAGAAGGCGTCGACTCTCCTGATTGGACATTAAAAAAGATTGACAGGCCATGTGAGGCAGGCTCCCAAGGGACACTGATTCTCTGATTTGACAAGGGCTTGGTTGAGAGCACAGATTGGGAGGCGAGCAGTGAGAGCGAACCAGCTCCCTGATTGGACAATGGATCGGTGATTGAAGGGACAGCAAGGCGGGCCTGAGAGGAGCCTGGCTCCCCGAATAGATGGAGTTTTACGCTTGACGAACACCAGGGGGCTCCACAGCTCCTGATTGGCTGGGGGAAGATCTATCAACCATAAAATGGGGAGCCCCGCCCCGCCCTGCCTGGCGTCACGTTCTACCCGGCCCCTAACGCCCCCCTGCCCTGCCCCCTCCCCGCGTCACGTTCTACACGGCCCCTAACGCCCTCCCGCCCTGCCCCCTCCCCGCGTCACGTTCTACCCGGCCCCTAACGCCCTCCCGCCCTGCCCCCTCCCCGCGTCACGTTCTACCCGGCCCCTAACGCCCCCCTGCCCTGCCCCCTCCCCGCGTCACGTTCTACACGGCCCCTAACGCCCCCCTCCCCCTGGCGGTGCCCGGGCTCCAGCAATGTTTAGGGTCTGGTCTCTGCCCCGGCGCGTCCCTGCAGCTCCCGCTGCTGCTCTGCTGGCTCCCGGCACTCAGTGCGCCGCAGGGTCCCAGTGCCCCCCTGCCACGGCCTCCCCCCCCCCGCCCGCAGGCATAGCTCCTGCCCCACGCTGGGCAAGGGGCAGCCCCATCCCCCACCCCCAGTGAGTCTACAGTGAGGGGCAGCAGCAGGGGTGGAGGCCACATGTGATAGCAGCCCCCCTCCACCCCCCACCTCGGGGGGGGCGAAGGAGCTTCCTGGACCTGAGAGGGGCCCTAGGAGCACGTGCAGTGACAGTGGTGGGTGTGAGTGTGCGGCCCGGGGGGGGGGAGTCCTCCTCTCTGGCCCCAGCCCCAGGGCAGCCTGCCTGCACCCCAAACTCCTCATCCCCAGCCCTGTCCCACCCCAGAACCCCCCCGTAACGAAATGGGACTGTTCTTAATGTTCTCTCTGAATACTGTGTGGGTGCCTCAGTTTCCCCTAGGCAGTTCTTAAGGATCTAGGTGGAGAGATCAGGGGTGTGATTGGTGCAGAGCCCTAGAGGGCAGGTGTGATGGTGTCTGCACAGTGAATGGCCGACGCCCTGTCTCCTGGCAACCGATGGCCTGGGCCCCTCCTCTGGCTGGGGAAAGCAAGGGAGGCCCAGACCCCGGCTCCGGCCCCAAGCTGGACCTGAGGGGTCCTGTTTCCCGTACCTACAAGCTCTGCTCTGCGCTGTGGTCCTGTCGTCTGATAAACCTTCTGTGTCACTGGCTGAGAGTCACGTCTGACTGCGGAGTCGGGGGGCAGGGCCCTCTGCCCCCCCCCCAGGACCCCGCCCGGGCGGATGCGCTGCGGGAAGCGCACGGTGGGGCAGGGGATGCTGGATGCTCCGGGGTCAGACCCAGGAAGATGAAGCCGTGTGAGCGTCTGGCCCTGGAGGCAGAGGAGGCTCCCTGAGTCCTGCCTGGCTCCGTGGGGAGCAGCTCCAGAGCATCGCCCGGGGACTCTGGGACCCCCCCACACCCAACCCTCGGCCCTAGCCCTGAGCCCCTCCTACACCCCAAACCCCTCAGCCCCAGCCAGAGCCCTCACCCCCTTCACCCAGCCCTGAGCCCCTCCTACACCTCTCATCCCCAGCCAGAGCCCTCACCCCCCCAGCCCCACCCTGCAGCCCTCACCCCCCCTCCTGCCAGCCCTGAGCCCCTCCTACACCCCAAACCCCTCAGCCCCAGCCCTCATCCCTCTGCACCCCAGCTCTGAGCCCCC